AAAAAAATCAATAATTTGTCACACTGGAGTTTTGAATGTTTGCTTTACGTGTTGGCTATTTCTATGTTTTATAAACCAAAAACAGAATTTCCAAAAAACAATGAAGGAAACCAAAATAAATATTTCTGCATTTCAAGTGAGTGAAGGATCTCTTTTGATGTCAGGTTTAACACATGAGACGGCCTGTGATGTGTACAAGCAAAGAGGAAGACTGGCCCTGAGCTTCACATCCCTCCCATGAGTCTCCTGCCCGCCCAGGTGTCTTCCTCTAACTCAGTCATTCTCGGATACTTCCAGACTCTGACCTGAGCCTGCCACCAGGTTGTCTCTGGCAACAGTCCTAATGTGTTGTGGAGAAGAAAATCGTGCTGTGGATAACATGGACATTCCTGAAGGGAACTTCTTGGTTGAAATGCTACATTTCAAGAGACATTGGCAGTGATTAGTCATGAGGGTGGGGGGTGGTTACTTCTGTTATCTTTTAATAATTCTCTTACTATAGAACTATTTCAGAAGATATCTGATACAGCAGCTAACTTTTCCTTTTTTCCTCTATCCCTGTCTTACTCCCTGTTACCATTTTAAAGATTTCCTTTTCCATGGATATTAATTAACTCCTAATTTTTTTCCCCAAGCTTGTTGTTTTAAATCAATCTTCCTTTGTCACTTAAGTTTTTATGTTTAGTGTGTTTTGTTTGTTTTCCTTCCTCTGAAGCCTAAGCCCTATGCACATGTTACTGATAAGGCTTGTCTTAGCCCATTTTTCTGTTGCTTTAAAAAAATACCAGAGACTGGGTGATTTGTAAAGATTAAACGTTATTTAGCTCATCATTCTGGAGGCTGGTAAGTCTAAAAGCATGATACTGGCATCTGGTGAGGGTCATCTTCCTGTGGGACTCTATTATATACTGGATATGGTGGCAAAAGAGCCCACAAAAGCTAATCAAGCTGACTTATGTCAGACTCTTGTGGTAACTAACCCACTTCCTATTGCCCATTGTGTATGAATGGGTGAACCCATTCCTCAGGGCAGGGGCCTTATGACCCAATCCCCTCCCAAAGATTTCCTCTAATTATCAATAACATAGGACTTTGGGAATTAAATTTCCTTTGTTTAGGGGGAGGGGGAGTCCTGAGGATTGAACTCAGGGCCTCATGCATGCTAGGCAGGCACTCTACAACTAAGCTAACACCTAGTCCTTGGGAATTAAGTTTCCAACACATGAATTCCGGAGAACAAATATTCAAACTCTAGCAAGGTTCCTGGATCATTCTGCCTTCTTTAGTTATTAAAAGCCTTGTTTAATCTTGTCTTAAGTATTTATATGTGGTGCTGAGAATTGAACCCAGGGCCTCACACATGCTAGGCAAGCCCTCTATCACTGAGCTACAACCCCAGCCCAGTGCACATGGTTTTGATTGCTATCTGATGGTTTTCCTAATTCTCTTCCCTAACTACAGCCTGAGGTTCTTGGGAATAGGCATTACCTTCCTTTTCTCTCCCTTAGCACCTGAACAAATGGCTTATAAACCAATAGATGTTCATTAAGTAAGCCTTTTAAACAGATGCTTGAAATTTTGAAAGTTCCTCTTGCCACTGGGTCAAAAATAAACGCTGGGGCTTGTTTGATTATGGTGAAATACACATACAGTTKCCATCTTAACCATTTTTCAGCATGCATTTCAGCAGCAAGTACACACACATTCTTGCTGTCTTCTCATCCATTCACAAAACTTTTCATCTTGCAAAGAAGCAGCTTTGCATCCACTGAATGATAACTCCCRCATCTCTGTTTCTGTGACCGTGAGTAAACACCTCCTTCAAGTGGAATCTCACAGCAATGCACAAAAGTTCTGTTTTCCTAAATCCTCCCTAGCGCCTGTGTTATGTTTATGTGGTTATTTTGTTTGTTTTCTTATTATCCTAATGAGTATGAAATGGTATCTTGTTTTGATTTGCATTTCCCTTATGATCATTGATGTTGAACATCATCGTTTGGCCATTTGTGTCTCCTCTTTGGACAAATTTTTATTCAAATCCTTTGCCTGCTCTAACACTGAGCTACATCCCTCGCCTTTTTTATTTTTGATTTGAGACAGGGCCCCGCTAAGTTGCCTGAGCTGTCCTTGAGCTTGTGATCCTCTTGCATCACTGGAATTACAAGTGTGCACCACCATGCCCAGCCACCCATTTTTAAAATTGGGTTCTTTGGGGTTTTGTGTTATTGAGTTACAGGAGTTCTTTATATATGCAGGCTATTCATCTGGAAACACTGTTTTTTTTAATTCTTAACTTTCATGGTGCATTGATTGGGGTCAGTGCCTGCTCAGCAGCACCGAATATACAATGGAGCTTCTTCCTACAAATCAAAACTGCACCTCAAAAGCCCACTGGTCTCTTTCCCTCTCTCAAACCCTCCTCTTTAGTCAGTACAGAAAACAGGAAATATGATTGACCACAGCTGGGTTTTGCCAGGCAGAGAGGCAATCGTTTCTTCCAACCAGGCCTCCTGCATCTGCATGTTAAGCTTCTTTCAGCAGCTGCCACACAAGCTGGTTCTGGTGGAACTGAGCCAGGAGGCCCACGTGAGGAAGTGGTGGCAGCCCAGCTGGCCCCTCTTTCCTGGCCCCAGCAAGGACACACCCTCGCTTTATTTCTAAATTGGAAAAGCAGTTTGTTTTTAAGTATATTTGATGTTCAGTAAATATTGTTGCCTTTCTCCCTGGCTTTACTTAGGAGAATAATAAACTAAAATGTACAGTGTTGCTGCACACCAAGCACATTTTACATAGATTAACCCTTTGTATATTTCCAACCTGTTGAGCCAATTTCTGCYTGTATCCCCAGTTTGCAGATGAGCAAATCAAAGCACACACATGTTTTGATCCACATCATGCACCTAGACAGAATAGAGCTGGCAGTCTGGCTGCAGAGGACTCTTCACCTCAAGCTACAGATCGATCTTCTTTCTTCTCTGTTTATGGCAAGGTCTACTTCCAGACAAACTGAGCATCAGTGCACGTGGTTTGGTTTTTTGTTTAGTATTTTATGAATTGTTAATGGACTTTTATTTATTTATATGTGGTGCTGAGAATTGAACCCAGGGCCTCACACATGCTAGGCAAGCGCTCTACCACTGAGCCACAACCCCAGCCCAGTGCCCATGGTTTTGATTGCTATCTGATGGTTTTCCCTTGTCATAGCAGAGGCTATTACCACTTTTATTCTGGATTTATGACTTAAATTAAAAGTCAACAATTATGTACAACCCCAAATTCACCAAGGACCAAAAAGCTGGATAGAACCAACCACTGCCTGTTAGGAAGAAAATTTGCATCAAGCTGGGTCACAGACATTTTGCAGGTTCATGCCATTCCTTAGAACTTGTAGAAATTTCCAACTTTGGAGGTGATAACAGCTACAGATATTGTGGATTTAGTATGCAGAAACGCATACTATGCTATTTACCTACAGGTTTAATTCTTCCCAAAACCCTGTTAGGTAATCAGTACATAATTATGTGTTTGCCATCTGCTAAGTGCCAGGCCCTGTTCTATAGGGACGCAGCAGTGAGCACAGCAGAGCCCATTCTTGCCCTGGAGAAGCTCAAAAATGGAGATAGACAGTAGTAAGGAGCAAATGAACAATTTAAG